GGGGGGGGGGGGGGGGGGGGGGGGGGGGGGAGGGAGAGGGAGAGAGAGAGAGAGAGAGGGAGTGGGAGTGGGAGTGGGAGAGGGAGAGGGAGATGGAGGGAAGGAGAGGGAAAGGGAGAGAGAGAGGTGGAGGGAAGGAGGGAGGGAGGGAGGAAGAGAGAGAGAGAGAGGGAGAGAGGGAAAGGGAGAGGGAGGGGGAGAGGGAGGGAGGGGGAGAAGGAGAGGGAGAGGGAGAGAGGGAGAGAGAGAGGGAGGGAGAGGGAGAGGGAGAGGGGTAGGGGGAAGGGGAGGGGGAAGGAGAAGGAGAGAGGGAGAGAGGGAGAGAGGGAGATGGGGAGGGGGAGTGGGAAAGAGAGGGAGAGGGAGGGATGGAGGGAGAGAGGGAGAAGGAGGGATGGAGGGAGAAAGGGAGAGGGAGGGAGGGAGGGAAGGAGAGAGAGAGAGAGAGGGAGAGAGGGAGAGAGAGAGAGAGAGGGAGAGAGAGAGAGGTCGATTTACCGGAAAAAATAGAGACTAAACTGTCACTGAGAGAGAGAAGATGAATTGGGCCTGCATTGGGCCGTTAACTTTTGAACAGATCTTAAGGTCGATTTACCAAAAAAAATAGAGACTAAACTATCACTGAGAAAGAGAAGATGAATTGCGCCTGCATTGAGCTGTTAATTTTTGGGCATATCTTAAAGTCAATTTATCAAAAAAAAAAAAGATATTAAACTGTCACTTACTCGGAACCATTTGTGTTAATAACCCAAAATTTAAATACAAAAGGGGAGAGGGAGGGGGAGGGGGAGCGAGAGAGAGGGAGAGGGAGAGGGAGAGAGAGAGGGAGAGGGAGAGGGAGAGAGAGCTTTGATTTCTTTTCCTTTTGCTAGCAAAAACTACTGCTTTAAGAGAATCTAAACGTTTGTTGTGATCGTGGAAGATTTCCTAACATCGTAGTGAAATATAAAAGCAAATATTCTACTTTTAAGTTATTTTTCATATTACTATCGCGAATGAATGACAAATTAAACAGTGCAATGTTTGACATGAGCAAATACATGTTGGTTGATAACATAAATGTCATGAAGAAAAGTAAGTGAGAGAGATTGAGAGAGAGCTTTGATTTCTTTTCCTTTTGCTAGCAAAAACTACTGCTTTAAGAGAATCTGAACGTTTGTTGTGATCGTGGAAGATTTCCTAACATCGTAGTGAAATATAAAAGCAAATATTCTACTTTTAAGTTATTTTTCATATTACTATCGCGAATGAATGACAAATTAAACAGTGCAATGTTTTACATGAGCAAATACATGTTGGTTGATAACAGAAATGTCATGAAGAAAAGTAAGTTTCCAAAATATTTTAGGTACTATTGGACGTGAACAGAAAAATACATATTATAAGAGACGTCAACACCGCAATGCATTATTTCTGCCTTGCTATTCTCCTTTACATCCTCATTATTCGAGGATTGATCTATGAAGCAAAAAAACTCAGATATCCCCAGAGCTATTCCCTTTCACAGCTCTCTCATTCCGAGGATTCTCCGCAAGTCATGTGGTCGACACGGAATTGCTAGAGCTCCCTCTTGCGAGAACCCGAACTCTTCCTCAGCTTGCTTGAGCAACTTCAAGAACTCGGGATTGTTGAGATAACAGAGTTCGACAACAAACCTCTCTGGTTCCCAACCTTCTGTGGCGATCACCACAAAATGGCCTTGCTTCATTCCTTTGGACGGTGAGAGACTTGTCTGCAGCTTTCCCACTACGAATCTAAGTATTCCAAGGCTTCCCTTCCTTGGACCCTTGTAGTTTATCGCCTTGTCCATGCTCAAAATAAATCTCAAAACACAAGGCAATTTCTTGGTCTTTTGTATCTGCTATACTGGTGGTGTGTATATATATATATATCTAGACACACACACATATATATGTAGTGCTTAGCGTCTTAGATGGCAGATGTGAACCATTTCCTAAATAGAAAATGAGGTAGGACCATTTTCCCATGTGGTATTTCGTTAATGATCACTTTAACCAAAACCCCCTGTTTCTCTAGGTCGAAGGTTAGTTGTTTTGATAATCATTTTCCATGAAAAGTTGTTTTCCTTCAGACCATTTCACATCTCCTCTAGGGTATACTCTACGTGTACGATGTAATCCAGCCATGTGGATGTTACCTGGCTTTTCCCTTTTTAGTTAGCATCTTAACGACTCCATTTAAGAAATAATAAATACATCTCAAACTTCTTATAACATCTATTTTATAAGTCGATTTTCTATAAACCTGGGGTTGGCTCGGCGGTGAATCACTTGGAGCCTGTTTATCACATATACTCAAACTCAAGTCATTAATTCAATTATAGTATTTTTCTCTCACAAAAAATTTGAATTTCAAACGTTAGAATCAAGAATCATGGTTTAAGTATACCTTTCAAACGGGTCCTTAGACTTAGTTCCTCGGGAGGCATATTAAGTCTAAGGTTCAATTTTCATTTAGTACTATCAATTCTTCGGGCCCATACCTGCGGGCCAGAAGCCCGAGATTTACCCGGTCCATGTAAAGGGGCGCTTTACATGGATCCCGTGGATTAATCGAGATGAAGTCTTGGACACCAAGATTATTATTCCTGGACTGGACTCTTTCTTCATTGTGTCAATTCAGTCCAAATTCACTTCATAACAACCATATATGAAGTTTTGCTTCTAATGACCATAAAACTTAACACTTCCATAGTTCTACCTTGTGCTTGTCCTCATAAGAATTTCTTATCTTAAAAATGTAGATCGTCGAATTCTCAACATTGCTTTCGATTCAATCTAACTCATAATCATCTTCTCATGAAGCCGAACTAGATAGAAAAGCTCAGAAAAGTTCTAGCACATGATCTTTGATGCTGACCAAAGAAAGCTCATAGTTTCACACTAGTGACCGACAATTACCAAACATAGTTTTGTTGTCATCCAACCAAATTTCCAATCTTTCCCACTCTTAAAAAGCTCCTGACTTTGACACACATTTCATCAATAACACCATTGCTCTGCCCATATTATGTCAAGATCCGTTAATTATGCACACTAAATTCAAAATTAGTCACTAAAAACTTTTTTATAGCAAATAACTTGACCCCCAAAAAAAAAAGAAAAATAAAATTTTAACTTTCACTTAGTAAAATACTTCTACTAAATTCATCACTTAATACAAAAAACTTAGATAGATAAGCCCCGACATTATCCATTCTATATATATACATATATAAAATATATTCAACACAACAATCTAATCGAAGTACATAGCAAAGAAGAGGAGACTAGACATCAAAGATGACATTTTTTTTTTTCAATTTTCCAAGAGATGATCAAACCGTGGGTTTGCAGTCGAATCCAGAGCCAGGATCGTCGGTGCTGGGGAAAACCTCGAGTCCCGTGATGACGGCCGCCGGTGGGCCACGGCGGCAGCGCTGCTGCATCTCCTCAACCGAGTTAGGGTTTCCGGAAAACAGAGCCTCGACGGAGCCATCCCTCCTGTTCCTCACCCAGCCCTTGAGCCCTAACTCGTTCGCGTTATCGATCGTCCAATTCCTGTAGAACACGCCCTGTACTCTCCCCTTCACCACAACCCTAACCTGCAAAAATTCTCAATCCAAATTTCCTCAAATTTTCGCATCAATTCGAAGAATCCAGAAAGAATCGGGACCGAAAACTGACCGTTTTGGTGGAGGGGTGGTCGTTGGGAGAGGAGAGAGAAGCGGTGGTCATCGAGGAGAGAGGATGTCGAAGAGTAGGTGGACGAGGTCGGAGCAGAGGAGGAAGAGGAGAGAGAGGAAGAAGAAGACGACGGCGAAGCGGAAGAAGAGGATTAGGAGAAGAACGATGAGGATTATGGAGATGGGAGAGTCCAAAAGCACGATCACCATTGCAATACTGAATTTTCCGCCATTGATGATGAGATTGAGATGTGAAGAATCTTGATCTTCTGTGTTGGAGAATCAGAGGTCTTATTGTTAGGAATTGAAATTGGACTGATGATGATGATGATGATGATGCTGATCCCATTATAGATAGAGTGTGTGTGCTTGCACAGAATCTTTGTTCTGGGGTGTTCTGATTTTTTTTTTTTTGGTGCTGTTTCTGGAAAACGAGTGATTGAGATTGATTGTCCGACGCTTTGGGAGAAACGACATCTATTTTTTATTATTTTATTATTTTTTATAATGGAAACGAAAAAACGACGTTCTTAGGGAAAAACGACGTAAAATTGAATAGAAGACATTATCGTGACAGTATTAGAATAGAACACAACAAGTCAAGCATCTGATTGAAAACGTTAATAAAAGGTCCCAATGACCAAATATTGGGTGATTATCTAATTAAAACGAGAAAACTGAAAAACCACTTCAAACGACAATAAAAGGCCAATAAAAAAACGATAAGAAAAAGCCAAACAACGAAATATTAAGTTATAGCAATAGTATCTAAATAAATGAAAAAAAAAATGATCGATAAATGACGAAGCCTTCAACAACATCACACTGATAAACGACAACACTTATAAAATCTCCATTAAACGACATTGTAATCTTAAGAGAAATAATAAGCCAAAAATAAATCCAAACGAAAATATTGGGTTTTATAGAAAATATCTAAACAAAGAGGACAAAAAATGAAACGATTTAGAAGAAGAAGAATGAGAAGGAGAAGGAGGAGGACAAAAAAAAAAAAAAAAAAAAATCCAATCAATCATAAACGATATCTTTTATGAGAAACGACATAGACGCAAATAAACAACAGTATCACGGCCAATTTTTAAAATACAATAACTAATCCTGACGAAAAATTGTTGAGACATAACCATACTATCTGCATAAACAAAAGAAAAGATTAAAGAGCAAAAATGAATTTCAAAAGCGATAACATCCAACATAAACGACATCATTTATTGAAATCGACATAGATTCTAGTAAAACGACATGTGATGACAATTGTAAATAACTTTAAGTGCCCGTTTGGAAAGCAGATTCAAAGCAGGAGTTTGAACTTATAGTTTAAATTTTATCAGAGAAAATACCGTAACAAAATCTTTTAAATTTAAATTTTTTATAAGAGAAAACACCGTTTGAACTAAAGCAAAATGGATGTGAACCGGTCGTAAGAAAACTAATGCAAACAAAACAACCTTGGGCAGAGAAGAAACAATCTATAAATTCTAAATACACGGAAGAAATTGATCATCCAAACGAAAAAACTACGGAAAGACAACAAAACAAATCCAGACATCTCAACATATAAAATAAACGACATAATCTCCAATAAACGAAAATGGTCAGACCAATTTTCCTAACAAAGTAATGAATGAAAACGACAATATTCAGTGCTAGGCTGAGAAATACATAATACAAATTATACAATACACACACACATATATGTAGATAGACACGCGCGCGCACACAAAGATATTTGCTAAAAATTGCTTTTGATGTTTGTAGAGGGTGAAATTTACGATTGATTAAATCAAGGGTCTCAATAATTAAGTTAAAAGTCGTTCATTGGAGAGATTGAACTGTTGCGAGAACAAGAGCGTTAATAAATAAAAAATAAATAAAAAGAAGTAAAAGAGACGCAGTTTATAGAGGTTTGCTCATTAACGAGAGCTACGTTCTCTGTTTGGCTCCAATAATTTTACTATGTATATTGAAAAGCATTATGAAAGAAGAACGAGATGAGAGAGATAGAGAGAGGAATATTGGAAAATAGAAAGAGAATAATTAAATAATTACTAGAAGTGACATAAGTGCTTGAGTGCGCTCGAGATGATCTTGAACGTCTATTTAAAGATGTCTGAATGCCTTGTATTTATGGCTGATGAGGCTCCACGATTGTTTCTTGTTACCTTAGTTGATTTGGCCTTCAATGAATGATTTCTTTCTGGGTAAAATTTGACCTCCTTTTGTGGATTTACCTTCCTGTTGGCCGGAAACATGGTTAGTTACCCATTACAAGTTGAATCTGCTTTCTTATTGTAAGGTTGCTGAGGATTCAGTCTCTTTATATTGAAGGCAATCAAAAACGCCTAGTAGGTTTATTGCTTGCTGCCCGAGTGAACCGTTGACCTCTTTACGCTTTAATTTCTCTATATTAACCGGTTGATTTTTTTCATTTTCTGAATGATTCCGTTGTCAATTCATGTTTTAGGACTGTATTGTGGATATTCTCTCATTACTTAGTCTCGAAAGCTGAGTAGCGACTCATGGAATCGACTGGTGAAGTTAATTAATGAATGAGTCTTTCTAATATATTTGGAGAGTCGTAATGACTCATTTAGTGACTAACTAAAATCCAAGTCATCATGAGTAAGATAAAAGATGGGGTATGAAATCTGTCCTCAACAATCCTAATAAAGAACATATCATTACTAATGTTAAGACAAAGAACAAGTCAGTAACAAATCCAAACGACAATAATGGGTCATAGAACTTACATCTAGACAGAGTGAAAAAATGAAAATTCCTTAAAAAAAAATTTCAAAACGACAAAACTCTAGAAAATAACGCAAGCAACGATAAACGATATCTTTTTTTTTTTTTTTAAGATCATAAACGATGTCATCTAAAAAATAAATAAATGACATTTTCTATGAAAAAACGACAAATTAGGGGGGGAAAAAAAAGAAAAAGAAAAGAACATTATCACGCCAATGTTTAAATTACAATAATTAGTCTTAAAGAAAAACTGTTGGGCAAGAGCCACAGTATCTAAATAAACGAATGAACAAATTAAAGAGGAAAAAAACTTAGAGAGCGATGGCATGCAACATAAACGACAACGTTTGTTAAAAACCACAGAATCTCTAGTAAATGCCATTATCACGACAATTGTAAACAACTATTGTAACTAATTCGAAGAAATTATTATTGGGTAATAACGAGAATATGCGAATAAAGAAAAAAAAAAAAAAAAAATGATTCTCCAAAAAAAAAAAAAAAAAATAGACGGCAAAACACACAAACGACAAATTAAGAAAAAAGAACTCCAGGCATCTCAATTGTAAACAACTATAGTAACTAATTCGAAGAAATTATCATTGGGTATTAACGAGAATATGCGAATAGCAACAGAAAAAATGATTCTCCAAAAAAATAGACGGCAAAACACACAAACGACGAAAAGAAAAAAACAACTCCAGGCATCTCATCTCAACATATACAATAACCAACATATTCGACGAATTTTTAAACAAAAAAACGAATTTGTTAAGAGATAACGTATGAACAACGAAATATATATATATATATATATATACATATATATATATATACGAACAACGAAAATCTTGAAAACAACAATATTTACCATAAACGACACCGTCGCTAAAAAAAAAAAAAAGAGACACATCATTACCAATGTTGAAAAACACATGACAACTTCAAATGGAAAAATAAAATGGTGATAGCAAGAATATCTAAACAAGCGAAAGAAAATGACAAACAACAAAAACATTTGAAACGGCAACAAACACAATAAACAACATCATATTTAAAACCGGCATGATCTCAAATAAACGACATTACGATACAGAATATCTAATGTAGAAGGGAGATGGTGTGGAACTAAAACTTAAAACGACATTATCTGATGCAAATAGCATAACCAATATGAAAACGACACTAACAAATCCAAATGACAGAATATTGAAAGGCTTCTTCATAAAACGACACGTACATAAAGACGACAATTCTCAAGAAGTCCACAAAAAGGTGAAGAAAACAAATACACACACAAAAGATGCGATATTATTTCAATATCTCGCCCTAAGACCAACCAATATATGGATAAAACAACAAGAACGTGTCAAAAGACAAAAACGAGAATCCTGCAAAATCTCATAAACGACATCAAATTTTGAAGGTGACGGAATTCAATCGAATGATACCTATAACGACGCTTTCAAGAACATCATATGTACAAACGATGTCAATTATCAAAGCAAATTAAATAATGATTTGTAGATAGAACTATTAGCATTAAACCTATCGAATTTATGTGGTACACAAAATTTTAGAAAAAATTTTGGAAATCGTTTTAGGCCTCGTTCAGTTCGTTGATTTGAGTTTTTAATTTGAGCTGAGATGTGATTTTATGTGAGAACTTTTACTGTAGACAAAAAATTATATGTGACTTTTTGTGAGAGCTTTTATCTGTAGCAAAATTAAAATTGAAAACTCGAATTGGTAAAATGAACGAGGCCTTGGTATATATTTTTGTGAACGGCCAATATGATTTCGATCCGGTCTCATTTTTTATTAATTAAGGGGGAAAAAAAAAAGAGCAAACGCTATAGGATCATTTTTCCCATTCTGATCTTATTTTTAGGGCTTATATATACTCTACGCATATTATCAGAAATATATTATCCACGCATATTCTAGTCATCTTTTATCGTATGTATTTTCAAAAACAACTTCAATACGCTTCTTGAAAAATCCTCATACCATTTCCATTATCAAATAAATTGATAGTTGTAGCCTATACCACAAAGTTTGAAAACAGATAGGGTTTGGTCTAGAAAATATTCCCCCATGTTTTATTATAATTATACCATACGATAGTAATACTCTATATGTTGAAGAAACAGAAAGAGAAAGATAAGATTAGAATATATAATTTGTTTTTTTTGAAAACAAGGGAAGAATGAAATTTTAGGTCGTAAGATTATTGGTTTAAGGAAAGAAAAATGCATACATGAGAATAGCTCGTATGCTTATCCAGAACCAAAAGTCAAAAAAAAAAAAAAAAAAAAAAAAAAAAAAAAAAAGAAATCAACAATATATTGTCTCAAATTCTATTGTCTCCTCACGTTAGAATTCGATTAGTCAAATCATAAAATGTGCCCAAAAATTTAAGCAAACTTTACAGTCTCCTCGAGAAAAAAAAAAAAAAAAAAAAAAAAAAAAAAAAAGAGCAGCAGATATTGCATTCACAAAACCTTTACACTAAAAGAAGAGGGAGAGGACTAGTGTGCACGTGGTTTTGAATAAGAACAATCTGTTACTTTTTTTCCTCTTTCTCCCCTATATTTATGTATAAATAAATGAATCTTAAGGGTAAGATATACACAAATATA